AACAGAATCGAGAGCCAATAAATAAACCCTGACGTGTGAGGTCGGATGGTTTTTGACAAGGATACTGAGACTATTCCGTGGGGAAGGATCGTCTTTTCAACAAATGGTGCTGGGAAAACTGGATATCCACATGCAAAAGAATGAAGCTGAACCCCTACCTCACACCATATACAAAAAATTAACACAAAATGGATCAAAGACCAAATGTGAGACTTAAAATTACAAAACTCTTGGACAAAAACATAGGACAAAAGCTTCATGACATTGGGCCTGGCAGTGATTTCTTGGATGTGACCCCCAAGGCACAGGTAACAAAAGACAAAAATTGACAAATTGAACTTCATGAAAATTTAAAAATTTTGTGCATCAAAAGACAATATCAACAGAGTAAAAATACAATCCACTGAACGGGAGAAAATATTTACAAATCATACATCTGATAAAGAGTTAGTGTCCAGAATTTATAGAGAACCCCTAAAGCTTCACCGTCAAAAACCAAACAACTGGATTCAAAGATGGGCAAAGGGCTTGAATGGACGTTTCTCCGAAGAAGACACATGAATGGCCACTAAGCACATGAAAAGCTGCTCAGCATCACTAATCAGGGAAGTTCAAATCAAACCCACGATGAGACACCACTTCATACCCATCAGAATGGCTATGATCCCCAAACGAGAAAACAGGTGCTGGCAGGGGTATGGAGAAACTGGAACCCTTGTATGCTGTTGGCGGGAATGTAAAATGGCGCAGCTGCTGTGCAAACAGTACAGCAGTTCCTTAGTATTCAACCTGAACGGAGGGGGAAATTCTGACTCAGGCTACAACATGGGTGAACCCGGGTGAAATAAGCCAGACACAGAAACACACCCTGATGGTTCCACCTGTACGAGATTCCACCTGTCGTCCAGTTCATAGACAGAAAGTAGAACGGTAGCACCAGGGCTGGGGGAAGGGATGGGGAGTGACTGTTTAGCGGGGGCAGAGCTTCAGTTTTATGAGATGAAAAGAGTTATGGGGACTCATGGTGGTGATGGCTGCACAGCAACGTGAATGTGATTAATACCACTGAAGTGTGCTCCAAAAATGGTCGCGGTGGTAAGTTTTATGTGATGTGTATTTTGAAACAATTTTTTTAGATGGGGGGCGGTGGGAAATAACCTGTGCAAAAATAGCAGTTACTCCTTGGGCTTCTTGTTGATGTATTTACTGCACTGGGAAGACATAAGTGTCAGGCTCTGCAGGTTTTTGCAGGTGCAAAAATTTCATAATTCTGCCTGCCTTTTCCAGTAACATCATTGTGTGTTTTTGTTTGTTTGTTTGTTTATTTGTTTTTTGCGGTACGCGGGCCTCTCACTGCTGTGGCCTCTCCTGTTGTGGAGCACAGACTCCGGACGCGCAGGCTCAGCGGCCATGGCTCACGGGCCCAGCCGCTCCGCGGCACGTGGGATCCTCCTGGACCGGGGCACGAACCTGTGTCCCCTGCATCGGCAGGCGGACTCCCAACCACTGCGCCACCAGGGAAGCCCCATTGTGTGTTTTTGATGATATGAGTTATTTGAAAGAAACTGACATTATCCAAAATACAGAACTCCTTTGGAAATTTTGAGGAAGGCTCTTGAACTGCGAAGGGCTTGTCTTCTGTGAGCTGGTCCCTGGAGGGCCAGGTGAGCGGGGGGCCGGAGCCAGGGCTGGGGGAGCAGGAAGCACAAGGGCCCAGAGGCCGAGGCCAGGAGCACAGGGGCCGCCCTGGTGAAGGTGGGATCCCGCCGGCCCCTCAGCGCCCGCCCAGGACCAGCTCCCGGCACAGGGCGTCCTCAGACATGGAGGACACCCGGCGCTCCCTGCCTGCACCTTCTGCAGCCGTCCACGCCTCCCGCGGTGGCCCTGGGCTAGGGCCTCTGCGCCTTGTCTCCCTCCTCCCGGGAGCCCACGTCTGCCCGGCGGGTCTGTCTGTGCGTCTGGACGCACCCCAGGCTTGTCCTCTGGGCCCTGAGCTGAGGACCACAACCTGGGGCCCCTTCCTGAGGCCCTTTTCTGCCTCTGGGGTGTGTCCTCCTGCTGCGGGGCACCCGGGGCTGGCACAGGGGAAGCTTCTAGTGGCAACGGATGCCCACAGAGGGGACCCGCCCCGGATCACCCCCGAAGGGAGCAGCCGCATCGAGGGCCCCGGGGCCACACCCTGCTCAACTGCCCAAGGGTGCAGGGCTGTGACCCCGACACCCAGGACTCCACGTGACCCCAGCCGAGGGGCCCAGGCCGGGCAGTGCCCGGGAGCAGCGAATCCACAGAAGACGACAGACTTGGGCTCCCTGGAAAAGTCATGATATGCTGAGAGGGAGCTGAGCCGGGTGAGGAGAGCAGGCCCTGCTTCCTGCCGAGCCTGATCTCCCCGAGCCCAGGAGCCACCGCCCGCCACTCCCGCCCTCGCAGGCGCGGCCAGCTTGTCCCATCCCAGGGCCGAGCGGGGAGCCGGAACACACAGGCCTGCGGTTCTGCCCGTTCGGTTTGTGTACAAAGTGGGCACTTCCACACCAGGAGCCTGTGCTCCGAGACCCGGGCTGGACGGGCCCCCGGCCTGTGAACAGCCCGTTGTGGGTGACGGTGACCCCAGAGTCCCACTGTCCTAGCGGCAGGAGGTGGACTCTGGGCTGCAGGGTGGTCCCTGCAGGCTGGAGGCAGACCCGGTAAGGTAGGCGACGTCTACGGGGACTCCGGCAGGTCTTACCGCGCCCCCAGCTCCCAGGACGAGACCTGGACGTGAGTGTGGAGAGCAAGGTGGGCTCCTGAGCCCCGCAGACTGGTTCACACCCCCACCCCAGCCGTGGGCCCCAGGTTCCTCATCTCTAAGCGTAGGGGCACCCACGGCACCTCCCTGCGGTGTCGGGGGATGGGGCGGCACCAGCAGCGGGAGGGGGGCGGCAGACTCCCCGAGAGCCCGGGTGCCTGCAAGCCTGGGCCTGGCTGCAGGGGGCGAGGGGCTCTAGCAGCTCCCGGGGTGAGGACCGCTGGGCCTTCGGAGGGCCGAGCCTCAGACCCCCTGCTCCTAGTGGGGAATGGGCTTCTCCTGTGGCTGATTTAGCAGGAAAACATGGTAGACAGGGAAAACGGGAGTCACGGGTCGGATCGTGTCCCCAGAAAGATACGTCGAAGCCCTAACCCCGGGACCTGTGAACGGGGCCCTGCTTGGGAATAGGGTGCTTGCAGAGGTGACCATCCTCGAGGCCCAGGGACGATGTCCCGAGACCACCGAGGCAGAGGGGGACGCGGCCGTGAGCTGAGGGGCGCCCGGGGCCCACGTAAGCTGGGAGGCAGGAAGGACCCTCCCCAGAGCCTCTGGCAGACTGGCGGCCTCCAGGCCAGGAGGAATACGTTTCTGTTGTTTTCAGCCACGCCGTTGTGATGGTTGGTCATGGACACGCACACGAGGGTCAGACAGGGAAACGTGGCTCCTGTGGGCTCACGGCCCCTCGGCTGCAGGAAAAAAGGCTCGGAGACAAGCCCCTCGTCCAAGGTGCTCTGAAGGGAAGGTCTGTATTTTGCTTTTTCCCTCCGGACTCTGTTGCTCCAGGCTCCTTGCGCGGTGACGAGATCTGCCACAAACAGCAGCGGGTGTGGCTGCGCCCCCAACCCCAGGAGGCAGCGGCGGGAGGCTGATGGCCGGGGCTCCAGGGCGCTGCCGCCTCAACCGCCCAACGGACCATTTCCTCGGTCTCTGCTTAGTGCTCTCAGTTACACTTCTCTTAATAAAGAACATTTGCTGAGGAAAAGGACAGAGCTAAAACAATCCTGGCGCCAGGTTGAATCAAAGTGAAAACAGGTCAGCACTACCTCCACTCCTGGGACTCGACCCCTACGAAGGTGGGAAAGAGGGGTCCCGGGACCAGCGGCGTGGCTCAGGGGCCGGGGCGCAGGCGTGCGTGCGTGTGTGAGCGTGCGCTGCGCTTTGGCGAGAAAGTCCACGGACTCATTCTCAGGCCGTCCCCAGAGCCGCTTGCAGGTCCTGTGCGCCCGTGTCTGTGGACGCTGTTTCTGTGGAGGTGCTGGGATTGTGAGGGATCCTTTCTAAACATGAACAGGAAGTTCTCCAGCTAAAGCTTCTTGGTTCCAAACCTCACTTGCTGCCCAGAGCTCGGGCTGCTCCCAAGGCAGCCTGGGTGCCCCCTGAGGGTGGAGGCCCCAGGCCCTAAGCCCCATGGGGCCCTGCCTGACCCGGGCCTGACTCCTTCAGCCGAGCCCCTCCCAGATCTCAGACAGCACGGTAGCTCCCTGGTCTTATTCACACTAAAGTGTGAGTGACTGATGGCCTTTTAATAGTCCACACACATCTGCATTTTTCGAATAGAAAGCTATTTACCCAAATAGATCTTTAACTGGCTGCCTTCCTGGGGGCTTAAGTGCAAACTTCAGGAAGCAAGCCCTGGGGGAGGGACGGGGTCTCCCCCATCAGCCCTCGAGGTACCCCAGCTCCGACTCTCTCATGCTCCCCCGTACATTTGGGCGAAGGCGGCAGGAACCAGAGGGGTTCCTGAAGGCTGTCGCAGCCAGGAATTCAGAACCGGACACATCCAGGAAGACGCTCATCCTTCCAGACGCCCCTCCTGGGTCTCCCTCCCAGGAGCACCCCACCTGAAAGCACGTCCCACAGGTGCGGGGTCCATCCTGTGCACTCCGCTGCTGTTGGGCGGCTGCCCCACTGGAGCACCCCTGACCCCCACTTTGTGTCCCATCCCGCCAGCACCTCTCCATCCCCCGGTCGGAGCAGAACCGGCCCCTCTAGGGGTTTTCTGCCAGTTTCTAGGTTTTCTCCCTGGTCTCAGCGTCCCGGGCGCCCTGCTCTAGTCCACACTCCTGCGGCAGCAATACGGAGACCGTCCATCTATTTTCTCCCCGCAAGTGTGTATCGAGCGCCTACCGTGCCGGCAGCAGCCTCGGTACATACCGCAGGCCCGGCGTCTGGCCTGGTCCCTCCCCCAACGAGCCTGGCGGCCCATGGCTAAGTCGGAAGCAAAATCACTTTAATGACTTTAGGCAGAAAGAGATTGAAAACAGAATCACCAAGGATGCCCCAGGGATGCCCAGCTGGGCAAGGTGCAGCCAGGACCCTCAGCCAGAGCTGTGCCCACCTTACGACCCCACAACCAGACGCCAGCAGCCCCACCAGACCTGGGAAGACTGCCCCACGCTGCTGCCCCGAGGCCGTTCTCGAAGTCTCCAGAGACCAGGCTCACATGTGGCCCAGCTGTGCACACACAGATGAGGGCACCCAGGGAAGAGGCCGGGGTCCCAGGCTGAGTTTCTGCTTCATTCTCACCCCGCTTCAGACACTGTGCTCTCCAGCCATGGAGGGTCTTATTATTTCTAGAAGAAGCCTGATGCTTAATCACTGGTACTTTCACATGTCATGCTGGGGAATGCTTCTCCCGCTGCAAACTCCTCAACATCCTTCAAAGCCCCACCCTGCATGACTGGGCCTCACCACCCCTGGAGTGAGCCCGCAGGCCAACATTCCGTGGACAGAAGGGGAGCGTGTGGCCAGGAGTGTGGACCAATGCGCTCAGCACCAGGCCTCCCCGCGGTCCCGTAGGGATGCTGGAGTTGACCAGACTTGGGATGTGGAAAGGGGAGGGGCAGGCGGGGGCTTGTCCAGGCCGCGTGCACGGGTGCTCGCCCCTCCGCTGCAGGCTGGTCTGGGAGTCCTCGGTTGTCACTTTCCCTGGACGTTCCGGGCCCCGCCCTCTCCCACTCTCTGTCTGGCCGCCTCTCAGCTCACGGGAGAACCTGCCCTTGGCAATCCTTTGGGCGGGCAGGCTGCCCAGTAGGCTGTCTGGGGGAGTCCCCTCCTGCCCGGCCTTGGGGGCTGGGCCCCTCGGTGACGAGACCCCCTCCCCGGCCACAGGGGCGTCCAGGGAAGCTGGATTCCAGGCCTGACGATGCACCAGGACGCAGTGGTGCGGTCGCGGCCGCTGAGAGCGCCCGCCAGCTGGCGGTGCTGCTGGCGCCCACATCCCCCCAGCCAGCCTCCAGTTCACCAAATACCTGGGCTTACAGTGCCTGCCTTTCTCCCTCCTGGCAGCGGCCGGGGCCCAGGGGCGGCTTTGTTTGGGCGCTGTCTCTCCGAGCTGTGTGAACACAGCTGTGGAAGCAGGCTGAATCGCAGGCTTGGAGTTTTCCCCCTCTTCTCGTTTCAGTTTATGTGACTCAATGGCTTGCAGCTGCTTCAAAGGGATGTCACCCCCCCACCTGCCGCCCCATCACTTTATTCACCGTCCGCAGTGGGGGAGAGGCCCGGCCCGCACAGCTGGAGCGAATTAAAACCCACCTATTCAGGCCTGGCATCTGTGAGCCACGCATACCCACCGCACACACAGACTTACACAGCTCGGCAAAAATGGCCTTTTCATGGCAAGGCAGGACGGAAACCACAGCCGCATGTAAAAGGCCTCCCAGTCTAGGTCCGGGATCCTCAGATCCAACCTGCGAACAAGAAGCGCTGTGTTCCCGCGACCTCGCTCCCTCGAGAGCCCCGGTGCCCACATTCGACAGACGTGCCGCTGCGTGTTTCTCCCCGTCTGCGAAGGGCGCGCCCCAGTTTGTCACATTCTTACGCTTTTCCATTCCCGTTCATTTGAGCCCTTTTACCCAAATTGTTCCACGCGAAGGGCGCTTTCCCCCGGAGCCTCCCCAAAGGGCTCCTGGCAGACGTTGCCCCCTGGACGGCGTCGGGAAGAACAGAGCCGCAGCAGGGCAGCTAGCTTCTCCGGGAGTCAGGATGCTCTCAGCACGTCCACACCCGCGGAAGAGGCCAGGAGTGAACTGCCGCGGGGGCAGCTCAAGCAAACCATTTTGATTCGATGTGACGGAAGGCCCGGCGCAAGTTTGCTAGGATTTGCTCTCTGGGATCTGAGAAGGATGTTCCTTTTTTGTTGTTTTTTTTAAGCTTTTTGCATTATCATTATCTCTCAGCCAGCACTGAGGTGCCTGGAACGCATAAAAGAGTATTTTCCAAACTGAAAATATGAAATAGAAGCACCGATAAAAACAACAAAAGCAGATCCCAGACTTACGACCATGTCTTCACCGCCCTCTCCCTCCCTCTCTTCCTCCCCTTCTCTCTCTCTCCCTCTCCCTCTCTCTCTCATATTTCTTTCTGCCAGTTAACTTGGGACACCTGAAAACAAGTGACGTCAGAGACAAGGGATGGGCTCACCCTGCGTGCCGGGCGCCTCGGTGCCCTCCTGCTGCAGCCCCCGTGCAGCCTCGGGCGGCCGGGCCGGGCGGGGCTCCACCCTCGCCTTTTGAACAGCTGTCTGGCAGCTCTGAGTGAAGGTCGATCTGGGGGTGAACTGCAGAATGCAGGGCGAGTGGTTAAGAAGCGGGGTCTCCACCGTCTTTGCACTTTTGCCTGCGGTTTCCCAGCTGCTCCCAAGGGCTGCCCGGTCGCGGCCGGCTCTAGCCTGTGCCCTTTGGATTCCTCCAGAAGGTTTCCTTCCAGAAGGATTCCTCCAGAAGGTGCTCCCTTCTCGGCCTCTGGGCCCCGTCCCCACAGGCCCTGCCCTCCGCGGGTCAGCAGCGTCCCCGCGGCCACCTCGCCGCCCGCCGGGCACAGGCCTGTGCAGGGCCAGCCTCGCCGCCGGTGCGTGGACCCGGGCCCGAGAACAGGAGGCCTGAGTCACACCCTCCGGAGCTCGCACCCAGGCCTCTGGGCCCCGTGGCCGCGTCCGGGCCGGGAGTCCTCCGGGGCCCACATGGCATTTGGCCACCCCTCGCTCTTCCCTCGTCGGCGGGGACTGTTTGTTTTGGGGGCCAAATGCAGACAGAGGGGTGAGGAACTCCCCACAGTGGCCGTTTGCGCCATTTAAAAAGACTTCTTGACCTAACAGACGTCAAGAACTTCACTTCACAGTGTTCTGCACAAGCGGTCTGTAGGGTAGAGCCCTTCCCTGTGAGAAATCAGGACAGAGCTATGCTGTCGGCCGTACCGCGCCTCCCAGGTAAACACGGAGTGGCTTTTGCTTGAACATTTTAAGTGAAAGCCATTAGGTCTGCAATTTAGTTTAATTGTTTGCCCTATTTTCGAAATCCTAACCATTCAGGGCTTAAAGCTTTCAGTTTCCTGTCCACCCAGGAATCCGGCAGCTCAGCCCGGGTGGCTGGAGAGCTCTGCTGCCCGGAGAGCGAAGGCAGAGGCTCCTTCTCGAGGCAGGCCGCTGGGCAGAGCGTTATAGGGCGGGGACCCCGTCACCCGGGCCCCTCCCGAGGGCAGCCGTCCCCCGGCACCAGCCCGGTCTTCGGGGAGCTCCGGCCTCAAGGTCAGCAGGGAGTGGGCTCGGCGGAAGGGCCCGCTGTGTGGAGCCTGTGCCCTGCAGGGCGGGGGGCTCCCACCTGGCCCTCCCACACAGGGAGGCCTGGGCGCTGGTGCTGGGGCGCTCGCGCGCACCCCTGCGCGACGTTCATTTCTCTCCTTGGTGCGCAGCGAGGCCCCCTGGCTTCGGCCCCTCTCTGTTGTTGATCACCGCACGGGTTACTTTTACTAAAGTTAACAAATTCCTTTAAATGTAGGCGTATTCTTATATTTGCAGGGCAACAAGGGAACAGCATCACACCCCGCCTCTCGCCCCCCAAAGGCCCCCATTCCATTTCTTTCCACTTGCTTTTCATTTCTACCTCCAATTTTTGAAAAACGTGTTTCACTGCCAATTTAGGATTTTTCAGACTTAGGTGTCATCCGCTGACGTCCTACTATGGAAGGTGAAGGTTCGGGGCGTTGAACCCTCACCTCTGAGGCCTCACACACGCCCTCCCTGCCTCCTCGCACTTGGAGTAGGTGACTCACCCCGGGGGTGGCTTTCTTACGTCCACATGGATGCCACGGGGAACACCCGGACGGGCAGCACGGCCGCCACCTCCCTGGCATCGCCACCCTCCTCTTCTAGACGAGACAAGACACGTGCTACGACTTTTTAAAAACTTACTTTTAAACTGAACATGTTTACATAATATGAATAAATACACTTGGAGTCTGAAGCAAATCTCGGACATCATGTCGTTTCATCCATAAATACTTCAGCTTGTGCCTCTTACAGGTGAGGGCTTGTTCCTAACGTCACCCCAACACCACTTTCATACCCAGCTAAGGTAAGAGTCACCCTCAATATCCCACTTCCTCCAATTTCCTCGAGACGCCTTTTGTAGCAAACTGTCGAGGGGCCTGTGGGTAAATAGCCAAGGTTCCTTCGCAGCAGGTCTGCCCTTGAGTGGGCGGGAAGGGCGGTGGGCTTGGCAGCAGGGGTTAGACCACAGAGGAGGGCCACGTGCCTAGGACAGTGAAACCGCAGGAGACAGGCCTGTGTCCCTGGCGCTAATCTTCCTGGACAGCAAGACACACCAGACTTTGTACCGGTTCCAGGTTTTCCCTGGGGGTACCCACCTGTACCCTCTGCTCTCACACGTGAATCTGGCCACTGGAAAACTGTCACCCAGGACACCCTCTCCCGTGGTCCTCGGAGTCCTCAGCCTCCCACCTGTGCTGGCGCCGTGGTTCCTGGCCCCAGGCTTCCTGTTCCATGATTTACGCTCTCAGGTTGCTGGCGCACATCCTCTAGGAGCCTCCATACCTGTCTGAAAATATCTCTTCTTTCACGCTTGATCGATAAAGCAGTTCCTAAAATGGTAGGAAATTATCTTCCCGAACGAACAGTAAAGCATTTCTCACCGTCTCCTGGGTTCCGTGTTGCTATTTAAGATGCCAGTGTCTTTCCCGTTCCTGACCCTCTGGAAGTCGCACATTCTCTCTGGAAGCTCTTGGGGTCTTTATCTCAGAGTTCTCAACTCCAAAATGTCCCGAGGGTGGGTCTCCAAGCAGGCGTGCTTTACTCACAGGGCCAGGAACTTGGTCCTTTCAGTCTGGAAACGAAACGCCTCCATCCGTGGAAGCATCTTGCATGGTTTCTTTGATGGTATCCTGCCCTCCGTTTTCTGAACTTCCTTTACTTCGATGTTGGGCCCCTTGGACTGATCTTTTTTTTTTTTTTTTTTTTTTCGGGGGTATGCCGGCCCTCTCCTTCTGTGGCCTCTCCTGTTGCGGAGCACAGGCTCCGGACGCGCAGGCTCAGCGGCCATGGCTCACGGGCCCAGCTGCTCTGCGGCATGTGGGATATTCCCGGACCGGGGCACGAACCCGCGTCCCCTGCATCGGCAGGCGGACTCTCAGCCGCTGCGCCCGCAGGGCAGCCCTGGCAGGCGGGCTCCCAGCCGCTGCGCCCCCAGGGCGGCCCTGATCTTTTAATTCACTGAATCTCTTTCTTCTCCGCTTTGTATTTTTCTTCCACTTTTCGGGATATCTGGGTTTCACCTCCAGCTCCTCCTTTGAATTTTTATTTGTGCTCATTTTTTCTAATTCCCAAGAGCTCTTTCTTAAACTCTGAATGATCCCTCTAACCTAGCCTCTCCCTCCTGCGTGATTGCAAACGTCTTTTTCTATCTTTCTGAATATTCGTTAGGGTTTGTTCCCCTGCCCCCTACATTGTCTGTGTTCCTACTCTTTTGCTTTTCTGTCTATTCTCCTCTCATGTTATAGGCAGAGCAGAGCTGGAAAATGTTCAGCCATCGGGTCTCTGGAGAAAAAAGCCTTGAGTTGTCCAATTTCCACGGTGCAAATTCTCGCATGGTGGGCAATTTCTGTTACGTGGTGCTCTCCAAAGGCCATGGCAAGCAAGACACCTCCTGCGGCCTGGCAGCGTCCCCGGTGCCGGTCAGCCCCGCGTGGTCAGCACGGAGTGCCTGATCCTCTCTCAAATCCATTTGTGGGTCTCCCTGAGGCAGCTGGGAAGGAGGGGTTGAGGCAGCGGGTCTGGATTCAGACAGTCAGCGCTAGGAGGGAAGATGAAAAGTGGTGAAAGAGAGAAGGAAAGAGCAAGAAGGCCCTGCAGCAAGGTCAGCTCACCAGCGAGTGAGCTGGAAGGGCCGCTTCCCGAAAGAGGACCCAGTGGGCTCCGGCCGAGTCATTCTGGGGCGCTCGAGACTGCACGTTCCTTTTCGCTTAAACGGTTCCTAATTATAATTCTGGGAGAAATTAGAGCAGTGAAGAATGGGGCCGATGGCCGAACAGCGTTTCTGAAATCAAGATCCCGTCTCTCAAGTATCGAAGCGCCCCGCCAGACGACAAATTGCAGGACGTTAATTCCTGTCTCGTGTCCAGTGGCCATACCAGCAGGACGCTGCTACCACGCTGCTCCGCCCTCACCCAGGGGGACGGCGCTCTCGGGCCCGTGCAACTTCCACGCACCTTTGTTCCCAGACGTGGGCCGTCGGTCGTGGCAGGTCACCCTCCATGGCATTTGCTGAGGCCTCCAGGACGTCGGCTTCCGAGATGGGGGCCGAGCACCCCCGTTCTCACCCATCTCCAGTGCAGGAAGGAGACAGATACCCAGGTTGACAGAAAACGAGAGCCCGGCCTCCCACTCCCGTGAGCTTTCACACCGTGACCATGCCAGCTGTAAGTGCTACCCTCCGTAATAAGCATAACACTTACAATGGTCAAGTGACCCGTGGCTTCCAAAAGCTACTGTAAAAGACTGGCGCGTGACACGTGCCCTTTGCACCTTCAGTGTCCGCCCTGCGCTCGCCGCCGCTGCCCCCTTCCCTGGGGCCCCTGCGGGGGGGGGATGCTCTGTCTTCAGCGGGTCTGGCTCCGGCCTGGACGAGTCCAGTTCCCTTCGTCTCGATGGCCTGTCCCTGTGCCTCCCCAGGTGCCCAACCAAAAAAGCCGGAAGTCACGTCATCAAGGCGCCGTTTGGGGCCCAAAGGGGCCTCCCGCTCGCTCACTTCTGTTCATCCGCAGCTTCAAATACAAGGACCCTGCAGACATCATTCCTCCCACGTGTGCGCGTTTACACAGAACACATTCATACCATTCACCGTCTATGGGACTTAGGACCAATTACCTAGCTCCCCAAAGAATAAGGGGTTGCAGGGGTGACTGTTCCTGGAATCCTGGGGTGGAAACATAGGAACGTTTCTTATCCAACGTCTTGATGCTGTTTGGTCAAAACACACCTGAAGACACAACATAAGGTTCACGACAAATGCCACAAAAAGCCCACGCAAGGCTGGTACAGCTATGCGAGCCGGGCGTTTCCCCTGCACGGGTGCGAAGCGGACCTGGGGGATGTGAGGAGACTCTGCTAGAAGCCTTGACCCCCTGGGGCTTCTGGAGCCCTGCTTACTGGATTTGTGTCGCTCTGTTTGGGCGGATTAACTTGGGTGTTTGTTTGGACCTTGGAAACGTGCTGGCTTGAATCTTGGTTTGTTAATTATGAAGAAGCGTTCCTCTGAGTTTTTCCA